AAAATAAATGTTAAACTTCTTGTTTTCTTTTTCTTGATATATATATATATATATATATATATATATATATATAAATATATATATATATATATATATATATATATATTATGACGACTCGGTTGTAACGAGGTTTATTGGCCGTGAACTCGGGAACGAACAAGCGCAACGGACCCGAAGATGAAGCGCACGTTCAAAGATGATGATGATTATCAGTCAGAACATATGATTGTGAAGAAGATGTGCCTGCAGCGAGCAGCATCGCCAACGCCTGGCTCTCTCGGCTCGGGCTTCGTTTTGTTGCTGTGCCGATCGCTGGACGGTTCTTGACGCTGTCTCGTCGCTGTCTTTAACGGCTAATAAACCTCCTCACATTTGGTGGAAGGTGCTGTTAATCCCCCTTGCTACACCCTGGAGCTGCGAAGCCGCACGCTACCACCTGTCATGACTGCCAACGCCACTACATCGACGCCTTCGCTCCAGTTCAACTACCCTGGCCATCCTAAACTACGGGAGCCGAAGGTCTTCAGCGGTGCGGATGGGACCGACGTCGAAGACTGGCTCGAGCACTACGAACTGGTGAGCGCCAACAATAAGTGGGATGAAGCCGACAAGCTGGGCCACGTGATATTTTATCTCACTGGCGTCGCCGAATTGTGGTTTAATAACCACAAACACAACATCCCCACATGGAGCGTCTTCAAGACGTCATGTGCTGAAGTGTTCGGTCGGCCGGCTGTCCGCAAGCAGAGGGCAGAACAGCGCTTGCGCGTCCGCTCTCAGCAGACTGGCGAGACCTTTACCAGTTATAATGAGGACGTCATCGACCTTTGTCGACGTGTAAATGACACCATGCCCGAATCTGACAAGGTCAAAAACATACTGAAGGGCATCGACGACGGCGCATTTCAAATGCTTTTGGCAAGGAATCCAAGCACAGTTTCTGAAGTCGTCAGCTTGTGTCAGAGCTACGACGAGTTGAAAAAGCAACGCACTCTGACAAGGCAGCCTCATCCTGGTGGTGAGTCGCTGTATAGCTCCGACTCCATGCCCGACAATTCACCATTGCTTCAGCAATTCCGAGTCTTCGTCCGGGAGGAAGTCGCCCGCCAACTTTCCCTAGTGCCCTTTACTCACGGGACCACCACCCGTCTACCTGCTCCGCTTCGCACTGCTATATCGGAAGAGGTTGCACAAGCTGTTCCTCTTGCGCACTACGAGCCACCTCTATCAAGCCGTGGTCACTGCCCGGGTGTCGCACAGCCGGTAGGCGCTCCTGTCGCCTATCCGCCAGCCGTTCAGCCTGTGGCAGCGCCCCTAACCTATGCAACGCAGCCTGTGGCTCCGCCTGTCGCCTTTTCGCAAGAGATGCAGCCCGTAGCCGCGCCGCTCACATATGCAGACGCTGTACGTAGGCTCCCGCAACCACCCTACACCACGCGCTCACAGCCCGCACACCCGGCTGCTTATACTGCACCTTGGGCGGCAGCACCAGTCGCCAATCCCTGGAGGACGCCCGATAACCGACCGATTCGCTACGCTTGCTTCACTCCCGGACACGTTGCTCGCTACTGCCGCCGTCGACCTCAGACGTTCGGCAACTATGCCCGGTCGTCGCATCCCCGCAGCCAACCCTTCGTTCAATACGGGCCGGTCTCGCCACCTCGCTATGCGCCTACTGACCACCTTGGCTTCCAGCCGCAACGCGCACCCTCTCTTTGTCGGCGATCGCCCTCCCACATGCGTCGCCGGCCCGGACCCTCCGACCAGGAAAACTAAGCAACGCAGTTCAAGAGGCAAGAACTGCGCCGTTTTCGAACTGTCTAAGCTTTCGCTCCTCTCCTGCTAACGTGGTCGCAGTAACTGTTGAAGGTTATTGTACTTTCGCCCTTGTGGACACTGGCGCCGCTGTTTCTGTTATTGCCGCTAATCTCTGCCGTTTATTACGCAAAGTAACGACGCCGCTTTCGGGACTGTCGCTTCACACCGCAAGCGCACAGCAAGTAACGCCTCTCGCAGCCTGCACTGCAAGAGTCTCCATCCAAGGCATTCTTTACATCGTGGAGTTTATTGTTCTTCCTGTCTGTTCGCATGACGTCATCCTCGGGTGGGACTTCCTATCCCGCCATAATGCCGTCATTGACTGCGCACGCGCCGAAGTTGAGTTTTCGCCCTTGTGTGATGTCCCATTACTGGACGCTCCTCATCAGCCGCCGAAGTTGCTCGTTCATGAAGATACCGATATTCCGCCTGGAAATTTCGCCCTTGTTCCCGTTTCATGCAACGCCTACACTGACGCTACAGTTCTTTTTATGCCTTCCGATATCTTCAAATGTAGTCGAGCTTTGCCCCTGCCTTTCGCAACAATTGACCTTGCCGCCGGAAGAAGCAACATGTTCGTAAGCAATCTGCTTTCCACACCTGTCGCATTGCTTGCGGGGGAATGTCTCGGCCGCGTGCAGGATCTCGACCCTTCGTTTTTGTTTGCTGTCCCGGACGACTACTGCGACCACCCAAAAGCACTGTCGGCACTCGGGGAGTCGTCCAATGATACGTTTTCTAGCGCCATCGCCAACACTCTCACTCCCACCGAACATGCCGACCTGCTGGATCTTCTCCATGAGTTCAGGAGTTCGTTCGATGTGTCGCAACCTCAACTGGGCCGCACATCACAAGTCAAACATCGTGTTGACACCGGCCTACACCAGCCACTGCGTCAAAGACCATACCGTGTCTCCACTGAAGAGCGCCGCGTCATCAACGATCAAGTCGAAGATATGCTTCGTAGAGACGTCATTCGACCATCTCACAGTCCCTGGGCGTCTCCCGTCGTCCTGGTGCGTAAGAAAGACGGATCTATCCGATTTTACGTGGACTATCGTCGTTTGAATAAGATAACCCGCAAGGACGTCTGTCCTTTGCCGCGCATTGATGACGCCATTGACACCCTTCGCGGAGCGGAATTTTTCTCGTCGCTAGATTTGCGGTCTGCCTACTGGCAGGTCCCAATGGCAGAAGCCGATCGCCAAAAAACGGCATTTATTACACCAGACGGACTATATGAATTTAACGTCATGCCCTTTGGGCTTTGTAACGCGCCTGCCACGTTTGAACGTCTTATGGATAATACGCTACGTGGCCTCAAATGGAATATGTGCCTCTGTTACCTCGACGATGTCGTGGTTTTCTCCCATGACTTTCCTACGCACCTCCTTCGCCTCAGGCACGTTTTGAGTTGTCTTACCAACACTGGTCTGCAGCTTAACCTAAAAAAATGCCGCTTCGCTGCACGCGAGCTTGTCATCCTAGGCCACATCGTGTCCAAGCACGGCGTATTACCAGACCCAGCAAAACTTCGAGCAGTCGCAGAATTCCCCAAGCCGACGATCATGAAAGAACTTCGCAGTTTTGTAGGCCTATGCTCCTATTTTCGGCGCTTTGTTCGCAATTTTGCATCTATCATGTCACCGTTAACCCACCTTCTTCGTGGTGACGTGAACCTTACCTCCTGGTCCCCTGCATGTGACGTTGCCTTCACTACTCTGCGCCGTCTGCTCACTTCCCCACCTATTCTTCGCCACTTCGACCCGACGGCTCCTACCGAAGTGCACACCGACGCCAGCGGCGTCGGGCTAGGCGCGGTCCTCGCTCAACGAAAGCCCGGCTATTCAGAATACGTTGTAGCCTACGCTAGCCGCACTCTGACGAAAGCCGAAACTAATTACAGCGTGACAGAAAAAGAGTGTTTGGCTCTGGTGTGGGCGCTTGGAAAGTTCCGGCCGTACTTATACGGCCGCCCGTTTGATCTAGTAACTGATCATCACGCGCTTTGCTGGCTCTCCACATTGAAAGACCCTTCTGGCCGCCTTGCGCGATGGGCACTCCGCATCCAGGAGTACGACATTCGCGTCGTATACCGCTGCGGATGCAAACACTCTGACGCTGATGCCCTGTCCCGCTCACCTTTACCACCAGATCAGACGTGCACGTTTGACCATCAAAAATATTTCTTCAGTATATATATATATATATATATATATATATATATATATATATATATATATATATATATATATATATCGCGCTGATAGTCGGTAGTTGGTGCGTCTTCTTGTGTTTGCTTGCTGTCCATATTTTATACCGCGCAGTATACATCGATCATGAATCACCAACTGACCCGACTGTCCACTTTAATTAGCTATATGTAATTTGCCAACTTGGTTTTCGTTAGAAGTCCAAAGTGATGGCGTCTGGTTCTCTTTACAGAAAAATGCCTTGAATATTCCTAATAAAAGCTCAGTCTACCAACCATGGTCGCTCAGGGTGCCCGTGACCGGGTCGTGTTGCCTAATTACGCGGTCCCCATACGTGGGGATGGTCTGGTAGCGCGGGGTCTTCCCTGTGCCTTCTCTGGACTGAACTAAAGTCAACTCGCCACCACCAGTGCCTGTTAGTGCTTGAAACAAGGCACTGAAAATGTTGCTTCGTGTACATTACACCACAGCGATAAGCGATTGCCAACAGTTTTTATCAAAAGTCGATGCGCATATCTCCGCCACCAAGCTCCAGATCAGACAGATCTCGAGACGTTGTGGCTTCAAACCAGAACATTACGCAACCCAGTACGCATAAATCACATCTACCCCGAGCTCAAATACATCCTGATGACTCGTGTAAGCAATGTAGCATAAAAGACGCCACCCTGTAACACATTTTACGGGCAAGCGCTCGAATGCAGAATGAAAATTGAGTCTGTTCAGAAAAGTGTGGTGCAAAGTTACGCTGATCCACTTAGATCGGCGAGATCATATGTGGGCCATCCAGCGGTCATGGCAGGTGGCTGGGAGACAGTGTCTCTCCACCTTCCTTGGTGTGGCCTATAGGCTCCGGCCTCAATTCACTGGTTTGTAGAACGTTGTTCACTCACTCACGAATTCGCTCACTACTGACTTTGGTGCATCTTTACCGACATAAAAACAGTAAAAGTGTAGACAAGCACTTACACCACGGTCCACAAAGTTTTGGAAGTTCCGAACGTACACGTATTCAATAAAATCCAGGTCGTTCAACACGACGAATGGTGCGTCGCCATTGAAGAACCTGCGCGAAACACGAGAAGTTCTGCATTTCTCGATTTGTCAGATATAATTGTTGGGTTTCGGGAAAGTTATGCCGTCATTCTTAAATTGATAGAGCGTAACAAGGAAAACGAAGGGACCCTCCAGCCCGCCAAAAGAAAGTTTGTATTTCATTGCGATCTCCCGTGGAAACAGCGCCGCAACTGATCATTGCACAGCCTCGAAAAATATGTAGCCGTTAAGACAAAGCTGCCATAAATGAAGACGCAACACTGAATAATTATGTGTTCAGATAGCACACGGTTGCCTACAGCGGCGGAGCGCGTAGCTCTGTACGCTGGCGCCATCCGTAACTCTTATCTCTGTGTTACTACGGGCACCCATTCATACTTTGATTAAAGGATAAGACCTTATCATGCAGTATGGGTACGTCTCTTGTCAGGTCGGTGTTGTTGTCTGCACATATTTTGCGAGAAGCAGTGACTGAAGCTGCTGACGGACCGCTTCAGACAAGTGTGATTCTGATTGTACGTCTGCTACTAGAGCTGCTGGTAAAAGTAAACCCGCAGTGGAGCTTGAGTTTTCACAAGGAGGAATAAATTTGCTAGAGGTAAACACAAAAGTAAGTCGCCCGAATCACGACGCGGCCGCAAGCGTCGTCGTCTGGTTTTTCTGTGCGTGTGTGAGTGTGTGCATGCGTGTGTTTATATATGTGTGTATGTGCGTGTGTCCTTCAAGAAGTACTAAGCACGCACAGAAATAATCATCAAAGGTCGTTACAGTATTTGCAAGCACACCAAACAGCACCCAGGAAACCTTACCCGCCGAGAAATATATCATGAGCTTCTCAAACGAACGCCCGAAAAACCACACAATACAAAAGGCATGCACATACTCTGTGAATCAAGTCACAGTGACGACATTGCTCACTGACACTTACCGACAGTTAACTGCAACACATTTCGCAAATCAATTTTATTGGATCACTTTGCACCGAGTGCGCTCCGCTGTTAAACACGTACTGAGTGCGACCAGAAGCGCAAGAAACCTCATTCCTCGTGTAAGTCTACGGTATTAATTAGGAAGAGCACCAGTTTATAACGTGCCCTAGCATAACATAGGAGTATCAAAGTATACTCACCCGAATACGTTCCCATACTTTTCAATCCATTTGCCAAGAACCTTGTAACTTTCCTGAAATGTAACAACGGAAAATATTGATTAGCGACATCTCATATTACTAAAGCATCGTTTAGCATTAAAAAAAATTACAACCATATATTTCTGAAATATTGCCACTATCATCTTTCTTTTTTACAAAACGGTTGGCTCTTGTATGATTGCAGCAAATTATATTCTTGCTTCTGTACTGCACCATTAGCTGTATCGCTGGCTTTGTGTGATGGTGCTGGATTGTTGACCCGAAGGTAACGTGATCGAGATCCAGCCACAACGGCAGCATTTTGATGGCAGCATTTTGAAAGCACCACGGTATACTTTTATTCAGGTTCACTTTATTATGTTTTTTTTTCATTAGCGCCAGTTTATCCTGCGGCATTAGTTGAAAAAAGCGAGAGTTCAGTGTCCTGTTATAGAAGCTCAGCCGGTTGACATTTCCGAAGTCCTCTGCTTTAAAGTCCCATTAACATATTGTGTGTTCACTGCATAAAATTCCTATTATTATTATTATTATTATTATTATTATTATTATTATTATTATTATTATTATTATTATTATTATTATTATTATTATTATTACAGTAAGATTAGAAAAATAAAAAATGCTGGCTTCAGCAGTTAAATAAAGTCTTTGGTGAGAGTACAGTGGCAGCAGCAAGCGAATTGGCAAAAACTGGCACTGTATGATGAAAAAAAAATAAACGCACAAGTATTGACCGACTGCAAAAAAAAGGGCCCCTCACCAGCCTCAAAAAATACAAAAGCCAGCGCATTATTCTTCCCCAGTGTTTCTCGCCTCTCTGGCGCACTTCGTGATCCCGCGTGACCTCACTGCCCCACGTTCAAAAACAAGGGAGTGGCTTCCCCGTGGCCCTCGCCCCCTTTCGCACAAGCTGTGCATCCTGAACCTGTTGACAGCGCAACACTTGAAACACGGGACAGGGAAGGAGCAAAAGAGAAAAAGAAAAGACAGCACCGTCTTTTCTTTTTCTCTTTTGCTCCGTCCCTGTCCCGTGTTTCAAGTGTTGCGCTATTAACAAGTTCACGATGGATCCCAACCAACTGGCCCAACTTACCGTCTTAAGCTATGTATCCTCGTGCACATAGCTCGTGCGTACTCATACTCACATACATACTCAGACTCAGACTCGCAGCTCGATCTCAGTTTGAATCCGTCTGAGGTGACTCACGAGTGAGATCGTCTACCTGTGATCCTCCTCTCCACTTATCTCTCACGAGAACGATGTCAGTGCTAAGCTCTCGAGCCTATCAGGATATCTCACATCTCGGCTACACGCTGTTATCACCGCTTGCGCAGTCGCAGACCGACAAGGTAGAATGAAATAAATTGATCGCGCACGACAGTCGAGTGAGACAATGAAAAAGGGTGGGTGACTGCGTGCCAACGCGATGCAGGAGTCAACGAAAGGAAAAATCCAGCGCTTAAGAAATGAGGACAAGAACCGGCGACAGACGATGAGTAACTAACAAATGTCGTTCTGTATTACCCTCGTCTCTTAAGCGCTGGTTTTTCATTTCGTTATGCTGTACCAACAGGCTCAACGTCGTCGAGTTTAGCAGGAAACTGAATCACGTGATATTTTGCATATAAAAATCAATCGAGAGCATGTACCCAGTAGGCGTCACGGAAGCCACTTTCTGCGTTACGAAGTGCGCAAGGAAGACGAGAAATGGCAGGAGAAAATAATGCGCTCGTGTTTTGCATCTTGACGGGCTCTGGTGGGGTAATTTAAGAAATAAGGGGTGAGGAGCAGATATCGCATGTGTGAAGGGTAGCGAAGACCAACAGGAAGCCTCTTCCACATCTTTGAACGTGGGGTGGGGGAGGGCCCTTTCAGGCCAAATTAAGATTGTAAGTAGACCGCCTAAAGAAACAATAGTCCAAAATAACGAGACCAATAAGTAACACGACGCTGTGTTTGACATTCGTCTTACCATGGAATGGTACTCTGCGAGGTTTCCCCATATAAGATTCGGTTCCGGGCCTGGTATGCCCAACTTCTTGAAGTAGTTGAAGTGCTTTCGCCGCCATCTAAAATTTGTAGTTAAGGAAGAAAAAAAAGAACATCAGTGGACTGGCTTCTGGTGTCAATACTCTCCCCATTGCAGGTCAACAACTACGAGCATTGAATCAGTTTTAAGGAGCGCGCGTCTTTTTATTGACGTGTTCTAAGGAGGACATGGCGCACAAATAGGGCAACGCCTTATCCTTCAGAGGTGTCCAACATAGAGCACGTAAGGTTCAAGTCTCTAAGCATCACAAGTTCAGAGCTCTTAGGATATACAACTTAGCGTATGAGTTACGACACCAGCATTTGAAAAAAACATTGGAACAGTGCTAGATGTGGAACAGTGCTAGATGTGGCCCTTTCCCATCACGCACTTTCAGCACTCACGAAGAGGCGCATCGACGCATTGGAACAGTTGCGCCGCCACAGCTGTGGTCTCTCCCATTGAGTTTTCTATAAGTACACTAGAGGGAACTCTGGCGCTAGTGTCGATGGGAGCTGCCACGCACGGCGCTTCAGCTATAATTTGGGAATGATGGGTAGTGCACGGGTTTGTCTAATTTTCGTATACCTTTTGGCTCCGGTTGGCTTCACGTGGCATGAAGATGCTTTGTCACGAAACGACTATAGCAAATATTTAGCAGTCACACTTCACTACATTTACATTTAAAGCTCGCCGTTTTAAATAGGCTCATGAAGCTTATAACCGTCCATTCTTTGATTCGTAACAAAACCACAACAAAGCAATAAAAGAAGCCACCACAAGTGCATTCGTAGCCCGCAAGCACGAGGACTGGGCAAATCCGTGTACTACCCATCATTCCCTGGGTTACTGAACGATCGTAGCACCAGCCCCTCTGGTACATGACATGGTACAGTTATTTTAGGAAACTCTATGGCCTCCCCCCTCACACTCTTTCAGCAATCACGTGATACCCTTCTCGCATGCGGGACGAACGAGCAAACACGTCGCCACCGCAGTGAGCCCGAGTGTGACCTTGGCCTCGGAGAGCGCGCTCCTGCGTCACGTCATTCACATTTCACACCGATAGGCAAGACCATCCCGCATCGCCGTTCGTAGTAGCAGCACGGGCTTCTTCCTTGTAGAAGCACCAAGACCCAACGGTTGTGGCCTCCTAACGGTCAACCCCACGAACAGACTATAGGGATGACGAAGTGAATAAAGATGGGATAGAGTCGACAAGCACACGCACTTCGAAGAGTGCAATTCCACTGCGACTGTCATGCGCCAATGAAAAAAGACAGTCAGTCGAATGTCCACAGGTTTTCGCCGAACAAACATTGGGATTTACAGTGTCTTTCAATGTTGCTTGCGTATTCCGTCACAATTTTTCTTTTTGTTAGAATAACATATTAGTAACGACAAATAAACAAGAAAATGTCATGTCGGAATAAGGAGAAATAAACTTATTTCATAATTGCGTTTTTGTCTTTGTTTTGTTTCAGTTCTACCGATACATCAGTCAACACAATTTTGTATAGTTAAATTAGACACTGAACACTCTAACTAAACAACCAAACAGCCCAACGCACGCGCGATTCCCTCAACAAGGGAAAAAAAAGATAAAAACCGGCATTTGCCGTAGGTCATTCTATTCTTTGTCTCGGATACATGGGTCTACTGAACTCTTATGTTTACGGCTCTGCCATATAGCGAAGCTGTCTCTTTATTGTTAGAGGAGATAGAAGGGACAATGACGGATTTCATTGTGCTTGTTCGCTCATGTGAAACGCCTCAAGTGCTTCTCTCCGTTTTTGATTTGCCTTTGCCAGTAATGGTTATGTCGTCAAGCAGCGGTCGTGGGTCACAATGACGGCAATCAAGAGCAAGGTTACCTTCTCCTTGAGAGTTTGGGAACAGACAGTGCTCGCGCATTAGGTCGTAAACAGATTGATCGCTTTATCCGAAATACACCTCGCCACAAGCTTGCAGAATATTGCGTATGGCTGCCATAGCAGAGTTTGCAAATTCGTACACATACTCTACCCGCCATGGTGGTCTAATTGTTACGGCACTGGGCTGCTGGCCAGAATGTCAAATTTAATTGGTGACAAAATGCCAGAGGTCTATGTACTTATAATTAGGTAAACGTTAAATAACACCAGTTAGTCGAAATTTCTGGAGCCCTCCACTACGGCGTCCCTCGTGCAGTGATATTGGAATGTAAAACCCAACAATTAATAATGTTAACCTGCTTGCTTTTGCAGCTGCCAACCATCATTTCCGCACTTTCTATGTGCGTGCACACTTATGCCGTAGTTACATTCTGCGGGCAACACTACTTGTACTACACAGTGCCTCTCAGGAACTTTCTTGATAACGAGAACATGTAAAAATACCAGATGTATCACTGCTGAAGCCTTTGTGCCTCGCACATTGTTTTGCTTTATATTATTATTATTATTATTATTATTAGTAGTAGTAGTAGTAGTAGTAGTAGTAGTAGTAGTAGTAGTAGTAGTAGTAGTAGTAGTAGTAGTAGCAGTAGTAGTAGTATTAGTAGTAGTAGTCTAGATATGCGAGAAGCTGTCGTACTCGAATTGCTTGGTTATTTTTATGTTTCTCACTTTAAAAAAAACGCTATAGACCTGCGTGGAACACGTAGAGCAGTCATTCCGAAGGCTGAAATAGCGGCCTTTCGGGAGTCCTTTATAAATTCTCTTCACTTACAAGGTACCCGCTGCACCAAAAATCACCAAAATTTTTGTTAGGTAGAGAAGCTTGCCCGCTGCTATTATTCGCTGTTCTGAGGAGAAGTGAGGTGCCCGCAACTCATGTGTAAAGTACCATTGGCACCTTGTTAGTGCAGTGGTTCATGACTGTAAATAATTATGACTGAGTCCTCTTCAATAGGTTGAAATCATTAAACGACCCACTCGTTACGCCATTCACCTCGCGTAATGTCTCGTTCTTATTTTACTACTCTACCACGCTGTACTACGTGCGAGATTCTTCACTCAACATGACGCCAGTACAGTGTCTTCTGGCGAAATATTTCAAGCTTTGACTGGCTTTGTGGTAAAATACTCTGTACTACATAGAGGGCCCGGGTTGAAATCGCCTACGATATTGATTTTTTTTCTCACGATTATGTCTATGAACACCGACTGTGGCAAGCAGCGAACAGCAACGCCACCAAAATAGGCTGTTCTAGGAGACCTCATAATATCTGTCGCTGTGAACGTTTCACTGTGCTACGTCCACCGACACGTAAACGACACGTTGTGTTTGCGATCATGCCTGATGAGCAGCAATAAACGTGTAACGTATGAAGGCTTCGAGCGACTGTTTCGAAGAATCCTCTCTCGCAGCACTTATGTACGAACCATCTCAGAATAAAATGTCGCGCCAATTTCAAAGTTTTCTACTCACACTGAACAGCACTGTCACGAGGCACAACGAGAGAGCGAGGAGTACGGCAGTCACCAACATGGCGTCCGTAATGGGCTGTTCAACGCCTGGCGTGAAAATGCTGCTCGCATTACTTTGCTAAGCGCGTATGTGTACTCAGGATAACGAAGATACGCACTCGAGAATGCATTCCCCTCCCCCACCCCCATTTTTTTTGTTATTATCAGTTGTTATCGTACGACACGTGGTACAACCTTTCACCGCCTCGTCTACAAGGCACTATTGTTCAGCAATGATTTCGCATGGTATGTTTACGCAATAATCAGCTATTTTTGTAAGGCTGAGAGGGATAGAGAAATGTTGTCAACGAAAATGTAGAAGTACTTTTCTCTATCACTTCCCCCTCTTTCTGTTTGCCTTTCTCTCTGCCCTTCCGCTGCGCCTTCCTCTTTCTCATTTCCATCTATCTCTATCTCTCTCTCTTTCTCTATTTATCAGTCCACAGGTCAGCCTGAGAGCAAGAGCTGGTTTTTGCACATGGAAAGCAGATTTCAGGCATGCGACCGTCAGCATACGCTGGCGATATCTAAAATTGCGCTGAATATTCTAGAACAAATTGATGGCTTCTCGAAGGTGCCTGAGTACCTGTCACAAATGCTGTACTATACTCATGATACCCGCAGGTCCCGGGATCGACTCCCAGTCGTGGCGGCCGCATTTTCGATAGGGAGGTGAGCATGCGGGAGGTCCGTTTGCTTAGATTTAGGCGAACGTTAAAGAACCACAAAAGGTCATTCTCAAGTCTTCCACTACGCTAACTGTCGTAATGATATGGTGGTTTTGGGACGTTAAACCCCAACAATTAATATTGTACTCATGATTATGAAGGTCATGCTTACAAGTCTTACGGCATGGTAGCGCGTGGCTTATGGGGCGGTTCGTTGTTACTCGGGAGTGGAAAAACACAAATGGTTCACTTTGTTGTGGACAGGCAGTAAAGTGGCGTCGCATATAAGCTCCTCCTTCGCTTCGACAGCGTCCGCAAGTGACTTGCCTCGCTTACGTTACGTAAGCGGGGAAGACAATGCCTTTTGGGGGTGAAGCTTCTTAAGCCGTGGGCCGTGCGTCCGCGATCTATGTAGTAGGAGTAGTCATCGCCGTAGTAGTAGTAATAGTAGGTAGCCTCTTCTACGACCGGGCTAGTGGAGCGGCGCACACGCATCCTTTTCAATTGGGGAAAAAACCTACGCACGTTAATCATAAATAAAAAAATGGTTGTTTCTGATGAAATAGCTTACAGATACGAGTATTGGTGACTTATATTCAAATAAAGTTTGCCTTGAATTTGATACTTTCTGAAAAAAACTTGTATCAGAAGGACGCACTTTAGCACCATCTGACCAGAAAGGGTTGCCACGTTAAACTCGCTGGGTGTAACCTCATTGGTTCTAGCAATACTCATGTTCATGTAAATGAAGCCTGTTTTGTCATCATCGTTATTGTATGTCTAAGAAGAAAACGTTCCAATTAAATGTTATTGACATCTGTGACAATAATTTTTTTCTTAACAGGTTTAGCGAGGATCGGGCCACAGTGTCATGAAAATATAGTGAACTAGTATATAGCCATGAACTATAGAGGCGGTGAAATGTGCGAAGTATACACGAAGCGCAGACTGTAAGAATGTGCGCGAGTGCCACTTCTCGTTTAGTCCTTGGAATGTTACTTCCAAGTCCTTGGAATGTTACTGTTTAGTCCTTGGAATGTTATAGAGGTACCGCCGGGATGGCGGTACTTCTATATGCTGAATATATGATGAAAAGATGCGAGATGGTGGTAGTTGGAGTGTTCATTAGGTGGGCGGCGGACAGACAGACAGATGCATGGACGGATGCATGGATGGACGCACAGACGGACGGATGGATGCACAGATGTAGGGACGAACGAGTGGATACATAGACGGTCGCACAGACACTGACGCACGAATGAAGGAACGCACGGACGGACGCTTTGTTCTAGTCATCATCATGCTTTCCGTGGATATGCTGTGATTTGTTGTTGTTGTTGTTGTTGTTGTTGTTGTCGGCGTCTTCGTCGTCGTCGTCGTCGTCGTCGTCGTCGTCGTCGTCGTTGTTGTTGTTGTTGTTGTTGTTGTTGGTTGTTGTTGTTGTTGTTGTTGTTGTTGTTGTTGTTGTTGTTGTTGTTGTTGTTGCAACGACGCCATCGAGAGCCCAGCGTGATCACACTTCAGAGCAGAATTTGGTAATGTCACCTTAAGACAATGAAGCAGATTAAAGATAATCTAAAGGCGCAATGGACATCAACAGAACACCTATTCTTATCGGAGGGTCACCACGGCCTTATTGTTATTATTTCACGTTATGGAAGACAATCCCTGTGATATGCTCCGATTCTTTTGTTAGTCCTTTCAGGCTCTTTATTGGCAACCTGTTGACTAATTCCTTTGAACAGAAATATACCACCATTGAATGCCAGTAGCGAAACCTGATCTTTCCTACGTCTATACTGTGAAATTCTCTTGAAGCGAACCTGTTTATACTCCTGACAGCCCACAACGGCCTTTCATAGCGTTACCCTACCTTGCTAGTCCGTCTATGCCGTGGAGTGGCCTCCTACAATTATATTATTATTCGGGATCACTGATAGCCCTCTACATGCACTGTACGAGTGCATCTATCCCCTAAGAGCAGCCCTCTCTGTTCCACTAGACCGGCTAGACAATAATTGCCCTTTCACAGAAACCAAAATTTGACTGCACTGAGCCCAACCGGACTTCAGAACAACGCCATGTGCCCATTGCTGCAGCACTCTCTCTCTCTCTCTCTCTCTCTCTCTCTCTCTCTCTCTCTCTCTCTCTCTCTCTCTCTCTCTCTCTCTCTCTCTTTCTTTCTTTCTTTCTTTTTAGGAAAACTGCACTGAACTGCACATTTGACTGTCCACTGACATTGATGTTGTGAAGCACTTGATCACTGCCATCGTAAAAGACGATTCTCTACCTTCCCAAATACAGGGCAAGTAACTGAAAATATCCTTTAATAAACGTCCCTCTATCATTGCATTGCCTCTCTCTCTCTATCTCTCTCCCTATCTCACTTTCTCTCAGCAACATAACTGGTTTTTACCGTTACTAATATTAAAAAGTGTGTTCTGAAGCAGAAGATTTGTTTTCGTTTAAATATCCTTGATATTGTAAATGTTGCACACGGCACCTTCTTTTTTGGAAAAAAAAAAACTCATGTTTCATGCTTGATGTTGTAGAACTGGTATTTATTTTACGGCATTTCTGCCCACTGGGTCTGAGAAACATTAATATAGCCGGTGAAGATAACTTTAGAGTAAATTCAGATTTTTTATATCGTGTTTACATTTACCCGATTCTTGGCGAACCTGCCGTGGTGGTTTAGTGGTTTTGGTACTGTGTTGCTGACTCAAAGGTTGCAGAATTGAATCCTGATAGCGGCGACTACGTTTCGATGGAGGCAGAATGGTAAAGCCACGTGTACTTGCACTGGTACGCAGGTGAAATAACCACAGGCGGTCGAGGTTTTCGGGGCATTCCGCTACGGCGTCTCTCATAATCATATTGCGGCCATGGGTCGCGAAACCCAAAGAATTATTATAATAATAATGACAAGTCCTCTGAAAGGGATAGGTCCCAATTTCGAAGCATCGTCATTATCCGCAGAGGGCCTTGCCTTTGTTGACAATTATCAAAGGCAGCAGCTGTTGCAGTTTCAGAGAAAGCGTACTTCGAATCTTTAAAAAACTGGAAATTTCGTTAAGCACTCCAAATATTCTATCATTTGGGGCTGCTTCATTGCACTGTAGTAACAAGAACGTCTGCAGGGCCCTCTGCGAATTCCTGGGTGATAAAAGGAACCTACTTTGTTAATTATTTGTTCAGCATGGGTTCTTTGATACTTTGAAAACCTATAAAAAATAATCGTTCATTAAGAATTATTACTTTCTATTACATAAACTAGTATTTATTTATTTACTCATTATTTCTTGTGACTAAAATTATCATTTTCTAATTTTTAATGTTACACTCCGCCTTTCTCTGGCTTGGTCTTAACAGGTCTTAACTTTTTTATTACCGCGCGAGAATTGCTATTTTTCATATGTCCCGGGCAAGTAACTATCGCCAGTTTGAAAATTACTACAGTATGAGTTGCAGCATACCAAATGTTGCACAATGAAATGCTCTTTACAAAAATAGTGTGTTAGAAACAGACATAATTTGTAATGTGAAAAGTGTGTAATTTTTGGTTGCTAGCTGGTAAACAGTGCATTAAAAAAATCACAGCATATTCACGGAGTGAATGATGATGAGTGGGGCGAAGCGTCCGTCAGCCCGTTCATGCTTCCTTCCGTCCGTCCGTCCGCACTTGCTTCTGTCCGTCCGCGTGACCATCCGTGCGTCGATCCATGCGCCATCCATCTGTCCGTGCATTCATCCATCCATCTGTATGCCCATGCGTCCGTCCGTCTGTCCGTTCATCCACCTGTCCGTCCGTCTTCTAGTCTGTCGGTCCATCCGTCTGTACGTCCATCTAGTGAACACTCCAAGAACCACCGTCTCGTATATCGCATCCTCTATGGCACGTAGCCGCTCCGCGCGTCCGTCTACCCATCCGTCCGTTTGCTAGTCTGTCTGTGTCCGTCCGTCCATGCGTTCATCTAGTGAACACTCCAAGTACCACCATCTCCCATCTCGCATCCCCTGTGGCACATGCTCGCTCTAGAGCGGGTATGTGCCACCGGTGGTTACGTACAACGGAGGGTGGACATACAAACATAATATATGCAAAACTATTCAAAACAAAGAAACTTCGGAATATACATTTTGAGGATAAATGACCCAGGAACAGCATAATGAATAAAAAATGGCAGCATATCCATGGAGTGAATGATGGATAGTGGGGCGAAGCATCCGTCCGTCCATTCGTTCTTGCTTCCATCCATCCATGCGTGCGTCTGTGTGGCCGCCCGTGCGTCCATCCGCCTGTCCGTGCGTGCGTCTGTTCGTGCGTCCGCACATTCATCTGTGCGTCCGTCCCTGATTTTGTCCATGCATCCGCTCCTG